CTTTGAGCTGGGACACTCAAGGAAATGTCCCATAGAGATCCTCTGTCTGACCACACACACTAGCAGCTCTGAACCACATGGCTGACTTCAATCAGAATTACAGAAGAAGAGCCCTTGAAGTCATCAGCCTCCCACAGGTGTTTGGTAGAGAAGAAGAAAGCAGCCTGGCCAGCTCTGAGCTCAGTTACATCGGGAGCTTGTTTCTTACCAAAAATCAATATGGGATTTCAATAAGCTTTGCTCCAGATTTGGGCTTAATGCAGCCATCAGCCTCAGGCAGCCACAGGATACAAATCACAAACAAGCCTGTAAGTGCACTTTAAAGCATAAAGTTCATAATTTTATAAATGTATATATTTGAGGTTTACATGCAATCTAAAGCACCAGCATCAGCTGCACCGCCCTGCAGCCCTCACGCAGCTGTGAAGCTCCCAAGGAGCTGCCAAGCTCTGCACGTGCACAAGCACTCCCAGGGCCCTGCTGTCCTTCCATGGCTGCACCTAGGGCTCACAAAGCTCAGCTGCAGGGCTGGCAGTTACCAGAGGTGTCCAGATGTTGGCCATGGCAATCTCAGCTCAGACATGAGTGACTCCCATCAGCAGCATGGCCTCAGCTGGGCCATGCAGATAGCTGCTATGTGCATAGGTGAGGAGACCGCACAGGAGCAGCTCTTGCAGGTCATGGAGTCATAGAATGCCCTGTGCTGGAAGTGACTCCAACCCCTAGTCACATCCATCCCCCTCCATGTAGCAGATTTGCTGGCTGGCAACAACAGGTTGGCTTCACCTGCAGCCTCGTGTTCACCTTTCTTCTGCCCCAAGCTTTCAGAACAAGACCTAATTCAGACTCCTACAGAAAGCTTGAATTCCATTCAAACTCCTCTGGCACCTCTTTACATTGCCCTCCGTGACATGAACTCAAAATTCAGCAGCTCTGCACCCCCGGGGAAGGATGTGTTTCAAGTGAGCAGTGAGGGATCTGTGATACTTCGAGATCTTCGTGCAGTTGCTGAGACAGGATGTTCCATGCTGCTTACAGCTACCTGACGGCTGTACCACACCATAGTGACTGGTGCTAACAGTAACCCGCAGCAATCTGCACCACCACGGCCATGCCCTCAATTGGTCTCTTTTCCTAAGGGCTATAAATCCAATGCTCTTCATTCTGAAGACCTGCACCATTACTGTTATTTTTCTTTACAAAGTAGCTCCATCGTACGTCCTGGATAAATATAGATGTAATTCTGATACATATTTTGCAGCGTATTTCTTCCAAATCACCCTCTCTATTTAGCTATCCTAAATACGGCAGCGTGGAACGCTATAGTACTGAAGAGCTACAGAATTACTTGCACAGAGATTCTTGTGATGTTTCTAACCCCAAAATTACTACTAAAGCAAAATCACAATTAGACTGAGCCCATACAGAGCACAGCACACATCCGCACCATGGGAGAATGAGAGTTCCAAAGGAACCAAAAGGGTTTATTTTAGGGAGAGACATGCAGCTAAGTATTTTAAATGGCTTTGATAACCACGTTTCAGCAAAACAGATGTCCAGGCATCCAGCCGGAGGCGTGTGAGGAGCACTTAATACATAGGCAAAGTGCACTACGATGCTGGAGGTGGCTTCTATCCAATGCACAAACATTCCCAGCTCACCACCCAATGAGGAGGGGACAGGCCGGCCGCAGGCGCGAACCTGTGGAGCTGGGGCCGGGGTTCAGCTGTGAACAGCAACGATCAGTCAGTGGGAAAAGGAGCCAAAGGCCATGCAATGCAAGGTCTGCTGCTGGGATGCCAGAGGCAGCCGATGCCCGGCCCTCACCCATGGGGACAGCAGAGCTCACCCCATAGCCACAGCCGCCCGCTCACCCCACACAGCCCCTCACCTCCATCTGCGTACGTCTCAGTGCCGTAGCCATCCTGCAGGCCGTTGTTCCAGGTACCCTCATACTTGGCTCCACTGTTCATGCTTTGCCGCGCGCCGTACCGTCCCTTAAAGCCGTGGGTCCACTCACCCCTGTACACCCACCGTCCTTTGGTCTCGATCCCCAGGCCGTGCCGCTTGCCCTGGGACCAGTAGCCCTCGTAGGTGTTGCCGCTGGGCCATGTGTAGATGCCCACCACCTCAAAGCCATAGTTCCAGGAGCCCGAGTACTCGCCCTGGCCCTTGGGGCCGGTGCAGATGCCGTGCCCATGGGCTTTGCCCCCTTCCCATCCGCCACAGTAGGCACCTCCATCATCGAAATCGAACCTGCCCCCGCTCATGGTTCCCCCGCTCCCAGGCTGCTCCTTCAGCCGGGCAGCAGCAGCAGGTGGGGGCACGGCTGCCCCATGGCAGAAGGCTCTGGGTGCTCCTCACCCGCCCGAGGGGACTGCGATGGGAGGAAGGAGAAACTGGAAGGAGGGGAGAGGAGAAGGGAGGGCAAGGGGTAGTGGAGGGCCCCGGGGAGCCGAGCGTGGCCAGAGGAAGGGGAGGGATGGGGGGGGGGGGGTCCCAAGACAGCCCCCGCCCCGCTGCTCTCCTCCCCGCCTGCAGAGAGGTCAGCACTGCCCTAACAAGGCCATCGGATCCCAGGAGCTGCTCCCAAAAATAACCCCGTGGCCCGGCCCCCGCTTCGGGGCCCTTTTATGAAGGAGGAGGGAGATTCAGCCCCCCCGCTCCAGCCTCCCCACCTCCGGGCAGGCAGCCAGCGGAGGCTGGGAAAGTAAATGCCTGCCGAAAATAGCGGCTGGGAAGGGGCGCCTGGTTCCTCACGTCATCCCATGAAGATGGCAGAGGGAGGACAAGGAACAAAAGCCCAGGGGCTTCCAGTCACACCTGTCCTACCTGGGAGACAGCGTCCAAGCAAGACCACAAGCAGACGGCATTCCCCTTACAGCCCACAAAGCCCCACGCAGCTGCAGCACAGGATGGCAGCGTGCTGCCGCAGGTTCTGCACACCTCTTTGGGATGGGCTGCCTCTGGGCAAAGCTGTCCCAGCCCTCACCAGGCTGCATGTTTGCATCTCAGAAGATGCATTAAAAAACAAACAAACAAACATATGGCTTTTCTTGCACTTACACATATACAAACAGCATGTAAGCTGCAAAATATATGTCCACATTTTTGCTTTACGGCTCCTGGGTAGACCAAAACAACTCATAGTAACAGCACTGGAAGTGTTAAGGCAGCAGTTGCAGCTGCCTACAGCCTTCTATTTTGTAGTATTCTGGGATTTGCCAGCCTAACTATGTTGTAACTGCCATAAGAAGATGCCAAGTTCAGGAGCGTGTAATTATTTACTTAGCAACTCTTCCTAATTGCATAGCACACTTGTGAACCGATGGACCACTGTATAAATAACTTACACACACGTTGGCATTTAGTCTACACTGAGCGCTAAATCCAACTTCAGACAACGCTCAAACCTTGTGTGTGATCAGGCACCACCCAGATCTTGCCTGATTTCTTCATCTCGGCAGAAAAATCAGCGTTCTCCTGCAAAGGCTGGTGAGGATTCAGCTGCATCCAGCCTGGAGGAACGGAGGACCTCTAGCGGCACAGCTGCGCTCGCTTCCTGTCCCAGTGAGCACAGGTTCAAGTCTCTGTATCTTCTTTATATCTCCTCCTGGGTTTCAATCCACTTTATACAGTGATATTGAGCACCTGATATTGTAATCCTAAACCCTGCAAGCGCAAGTCTGCAGTGATTGTCTAAGAAATGGGAAACAGCAATATTGGACTGGAAATACCTTTCATCCTTTGCCTTGAATTCAAAATCCCAGTGGCAGAAATACAGCTGAGCACGGGGGAATTGAAGGGAAATGCAAACAACACATAAGGGACAGATGTCAGAACTTCTGATGACAACAAACAACCCAAAGGTACACCCAAGAAATGTTTGCCTGTTTCCTCTCCAGATCTCACAGGCAGCAAACAAAGACAAACAGTGCAGCTCATCTCTCCTTCACCAAACAGTATCTGATAGGACACTTCCCTGCCATACACACACTGACGTATCAGACTGTACTGACTCATTAAGTATAGCAAGCTGTTATTTCTGAAGTACGTTTCAGGAAGAGCACCAGGACTTTGGACTTGGACAGGGCATCTGAAGTGACAGCAGTTGAGTAAAGGTTGGAGGAGGAAGAAAATACAGCGCTCAAGTCTTCCCCAACTGTGCAGCTGGCAACTGTTTGCTCCATGGGTCTTTATGCTTGGGTAGTTACATCTGGTGCTGTACAGCAGTTGTACAAAGCTAAAAAACACTGTGTAAGTGAGGACCACTGAAGCCAACAAGCACTGTTTTGGCCTTCCTGAAAACGCACTGACCAGTGTCCTCCAGTTTAACAGAGTAACAATAAAGTGAAGCAACACCCCTGAAGAAAGTAGGTGCTTCTGGTGCTGCAGATAAACCTCCAAGGCCTGCAGGACATTCAATAAAGAGCTACCCTTGCTTTACATTTTCCACTAAAATACGCTCCATAGATCAGGATAAACTCGGTCAGTCTTCCCTTGTTAACCTAGGGACTAACTCAGTATCAGACAGGTGAAGGAGAATGCCTGTTTAGGTGATCAGAAGTAAAGCCTCTCTTCAGGCACAAAGAACTAAGAATTCCTTCTCCCATGAAAAGCAGATTCTGCCTCCTGGATTTGCCAAGAGTACAAACTATATCAAGGAGAAGACAGGAGATGGTCACGATCCTTCATGAAATAAAACCAGGGGCAGAAACGTCCAGAAATACAAACCTAGATATTACAATCTGGGGTCAAAGCAATTTCAAAGAAGCTGAATTACACCAAGTTCTCCAACAGCTCTAACCACTAAGAACCTAGACACTCCCCTTCCAACAAACAGAAGGATTTTGAAAACTAAGTTGAATTTCTCATGTTAGGACTCAAGCATAGACAGATACTCTCTAAACACATTGTCTGTATTTACTTCATTATCTATTCCAAGTTTAAACTATCATGCTGAAGCTAGCATTTGTCCAGCTGAAATAATGAACATCAGCTAAGATGCGAAGAAAGGATTTTATTGCAAGCACAGTGAGCAATGATCAGGTTCCATCTCACATGACTGTGACTAAGGACATGTACAAACCACCCACCCTTCTGTTTTTAGCAGTCCTTGTTTTCAGGTGTACATCATTTCTGCCATGTGAGACATTTTCTTTGGAATATACAAGTAATATTCCATGTATCCTGAAAGGTCTTCGATAGTCACATCATCCACAAAGGCTCTGGCTTGCTCAGAGCAAGAGCGTGGGGAACTCGATGGAGTTCTCGATGGCAAAGACTGAGAGTGATCCTCTGCAACTGTTCTTCTATCAGACGCCAACGTGAAAGTGTTCTGCAAGCCAGAGAATTTATACACCTCCATTTCTTGCCATCGTTTACACTGACAGGCTTTATCTACGCAGGCACATGGCTTATGCTTGTTCAGCTTGGACACAGATCGGAAGTCAGAGAGCTCTGCAGTCTTTAGGCTTGCTTCAGATACTAAAGAAATGGCAGTGGGAGAATTTTCTTGTGTGTTCACTGACGTGGACTGTGCAACAGAGGCTCCGGAACAACCGACGCCATCTCTTTTCTGGCCAATGTCTGAGGCAATACTGCATCGTTCGTGTGCACAAGCTTCCTTTGGGACTAATATTCCAAACGCACTGCCATCAGCTGGGGCATCAATCTGGCCTTTGTGCATCAGTTGGCTGCACGTGGATTGTGATTTTGTGCTGCAGTGAATAAATTTTGGAGGATGAAGAATTGGGGACTTGGAACGCCTGCGACGCTGAGTTCTCACAGCTCCTCTGGAAGGTTTCTTCACAGACCTAACAGAGAAAGATACAAAAAGTGAGTGAAGTTTCACTAAATGACTCACTGTTGGACTAAGGATAACATCAGCAAAATATCTAGTGTTGCATGCAGGAGCTTTAAGCTCGGAGTATTTGCTCAGGGTATTCTACTATCTTGGAATTTGACACTGTTCTAGTCAAGCACCTGTAAAATGTACAAAAGGAACAGCTGAGAAATGAATCCTGAAGTGTGTGCTTTTAGGGTTAAAAAAGATGAGTACAGCATGTAAGATAACCTCTGAGAGAAAGACAGAGCACAAGATAGCACAAATCAACAAGAACATCTTTGTTACAATCAAAGATGCATGAAGTTCTGCATACACAATCAAGAATTGTTTTTAATTTAGCATCTGTAGCACACTGACATCTTCCACAAAGTTTAACAGCTAGTGAAAGAGACGCATTCATGACTGTGTAGTTGAAAAACAGTAGTCCACAGTTACATTAAAATCATCTACAACGTTTAGCTGACCAGCATTTCCTTTCACTTCATGTAATTGTAAATAAGAACAGCCGTCATATGACAAGGAAAAAAAAGTACTGCAGAGTATTTTAAACAAGCTCTTTAATAAAAATAAATGTAAAGCTCTTACTTAGAGGCCAGGTTACCCAAAGAACTGGCTATTTAAAATTCATTTTCATCATAATCACATTTGAAGTAGCCTGACAATCCCAGACTTCTCTTACCCATGCCAGGTATCCTTAGAAGTACAAGCATTCTTAGGTTTGGTTTCATCTGCTGCTGCTCTAACCAGTGCTCGTGTCCCTTCACCAATAGAAAGAGAAGCAGTAGAGCTGTGAAAAATGAACAATTAATAGCAAAGATTAGCTAGCAAGCATGGAAATGCCTGTGACCTTTCTTCCCATAAAATTACCCAAATCATTTCTGACATGGCTCAAAAGAGCTGCCCACAAAGACAACACAGATCTTCAGGCAGCGTTACGCAGTTCTATGCCAGAAAATTGTACAACAAACTGCCCCCAAAGTTGATGCCATACAGCAGTGAGATTGCACATCCAAAATCCACTCCTCAGTGTGGAAGCACACAGAACAGCTGAACCTCAGTTCCCCCAGGAGAGGGGAAAAAACATCACTGAAGAGATGTGCCTCTTTTTCAGAGACAAATAAACCATTCTTTCCTAAAAATAAATGTTCTTCGGACATAAATAGACTTTGTTTATCTGAAGAACACTTATGCCTTTGTCTAGGACAATGTAAGCTGAAACTCTTCATATTACCAAAAGTTCACCCACTTGAACAACAGAACTGTGACAAATTTTCAACTTTTATTCAAGTCAGACAAAACAGAAAACGTACTCCTTTCTCTAGTGCTATAAATCCACCCCAAAATGAGATTTCCAACAATCTGTGACAATAGCACAAGCCATTTTTCAAGCTGCGACTTCAGATATTGATCTGGCATTGATAAGGATCAAGTAATCTTACATTAAATTGTTTTTTAAGCAGGACTGACTTCCCAAGAAATGGAAATAAGTCCTCACATGCCACTGAAGGACAGCATTAACTGGTATTTAGGAGACTAACCTATTCTTCAAGCACCTGCTGTTTTCCATTTTACAACCATGAACACAGTAGTAAATTGAAGGTCAAGAGCAAAAACCACCACTATTAAAGTATGCCTGACCTGGCTTCTGGACTAGAGATATTGAAGTAATGAAAGGCACTTGGGTGGTGACAGATTTCTAACAAGCTTAATTACTTAAATGAAAGATAATATTAGAAGTCTCTCTTCTTGCCACCTAGCTTCTAAGGGAATTCCAACTACCAACTTGATATTTACATTCTGCCTTACAGCTGTACTTCGGTCAGCAGTATAACTGCATTACAGCCTGCAGCCCACTGAAATTAGTGCCCCATATGTAACAATACACATTCATCAGCAGCAAAAGAACTACATAGAAACTATCTGCTTATTCTTGATAAAAAAAAAAGAGCTTTGCTAACAGAAGACACAAACTGCTTGTCTTCTGCCCAGGACAGCAAGGGTTAAGTGCCACACATCGGATCTCCCATGAAGCAAGACCAAAAAAGCATTCTTTTCCAGTTAGCATTTTTAGCCATAAACAGAAAGCCTGAAAGTGACATCAACGATAACAGTTTGTGTGGGAATCATGCATTGCATCTAATGCTCTCCTTCACTGATATGGAAGGAATATCTCTCTTTTGGGAAAAACAGTTCATCTCAAGGCAGCCTGTACAGCAGTGATCATACGTTGACTTCCAGAGCCGCAGGCACAACCTGGGACAGCCAGAATCCTGCCAAAATTCAGATCAAGCAAGCTGTCAACTGCTGCTTATCATTAGGTCTGCTGCTGAGAGCTAAGGATGATTTAACAAATCATGACTTCTTGAGAAACACAGCCTACAGTTGGTGAATTTATTTCAACCGAACTACAATGAAGGCTTTCAGTGCCTGACCTTCTGAAATTACTTCACTTGTTCAGATGTAACAGTAGGGGTGTTCCCCTCTCAGTCCCTCTGTAAGGTTAACTCTGTACCTCCCCATGCTGTTACTTACCCAGCTGCATCAACTCTCAGCTTTTTGAATGCTGTTTGCAGGCTTTCCTCCTCTCCATCCTTAGCTTCTGTTTTCATCATTAAGGTGGTCAGAACTGCTGGTTTACCATATACTGCTAAAAACAGAAAAGAAACATGAAAATGAGAACAAATGCCATGTTAAAAAGATTAGTTGCCCAGCAGCACCATGATACATGAAAATAAACTCAAAATAGCAAACTGAGTGCACACAGCTGAGGTCATTCTAGTAGAATGTTTTTCAAAGTCAATTCAGAACAAGCTTTATGATACCCAGGAATGGAACAGTCACTTCTTGTACACTTGCATTGGTGAAATAGCAATTTAAAGTAAAGTCTGGTCAACAGCACCTTGCACATCTATTAAAGTTCAGGCAGACTCTTCCATTTGTCTCAGAGATGCTACCAGAATACCTCCAGAAATGGTGAGAAGAAAACAACCTCATTAGAAACACACAGCTTTCTACAGCTATTTCCAGCAGTGAGGCTTGATATTATACATACATAGAGTAATACTTAAAAAACCCACAAAAATAGACTGCTCTGAAGACAAGACTGCTAAGTAAGCATTTGGTAGGTGTTTGGTTAAATTCTCCTCCTCCATTACAAGTGGGGGAAGCAGTGCAGTGCCTCATGTTAGACCCGCAGGTTTTGGATGTGCCCTATGACCTGCTGCAGCTACTGCCACCGTGGAGGACTAAAGGAAAAGAACAAAAGAACAGACTGCTTTCAAAAGGCATTAGCTTTTTATTTAAGCTGTTCAGATTTAGACAATCTATACTTCACTTCAATTACATTCATACTATCCCAGAACACTCTAAGAGAGTTAAACTGCAGCTGTTTTTGATTATACACCCTGAACTGCTGGAAGAAGAAACAGGAAAGCAAGACTCAGAAGTGATTGCTCTGCATGCTGCACTCAGCCTATACAGGATCTTTTTTTTTTTAACTTAAGTACTTGACATAAAAACAAAACAAAACCCCAACAAAGCTAACAAACTAACAAACCCGACCAACCCACTCAACACATTTTCTGGTTCACCCTGCCTTTGCTTTCCGTTTACAAGATGTAGATGCACAATTCTGAGTTAAGTAAATCAGAGGCAGTAAACTCGTAACAGAAACAGGTCAAAATTGAGAAAGGATCTCAACTGCCAACCCCAACTTTGCTTAAGCCATCCAAAAAAACTTTCATAACCACCCTGGTAGCCAAGACTGCTGTCTCATTTCACGCTTGAAACAAAAAAAACCTTTTCATCAACGTAGCCTCCATTGCCACACGTTAAATTCTTTGCACACAGGTGTTTTGCTACCCCGGTCTCTGCAAAGCTACCTTATAGCAGGATACAAGTCCCAGTGATTGACTTGAGTACTTTTGGAAATAAGGGCTGTTTGGTGGTTCCCACACTGCACAGGTTTGTGGGGATTGTGACCAGATCATAATCTCAGGCCTTTTGGTTTATTTATTTATTTTAAACTTGCAAGAGGAAATCATACTTGACCAATTTCTTCTATGAAAACATAGCTGGCTTGGCAGACAAGAGGAAAGCAGTAGATATTTTAACTCTGACTTCAGCAAGGTTTATAAGCACCACCTCCAATTAAGACCCTGACAGAGAAATTGATGAGGCGTGGGCTGGATGAGCCAAGCAGTAAGAGGCAAACAGCTGTGCAGGGTCAGGCTGGAAGCCAGTAATGTAATGTACCCCGGAGTCAACAGTGGGTCCACTCCTGCTTAACATCGTCATTATGGATCCATGGCTTATACTGCACCCTCAGTTTGCTGATCTTATGGACAAGAGGGGTAGATACACCCAAGGGTTTTGCTGAGAGAGACCCTGACAGGCTGGAAAAAATGGTCTGACAGCAACCTCACTGCAGCTCAGCCATGGGAGCTGTGAAGTCCTGTCCCTGGAGAGCACTTCCAGGCACCCAGCTGTAAAGCAGCGTGACAGAAAAGGCCCAAGGACTCCTGGTGAATACCAAAGGAAAAATGAGCCCACAGTATGCCCTCGCTGTGAAGAAGGCTCACGATATTCTGGGCTACATTAGGCAAAGTGTTGGCAGCAGATGGAGGGAGGTGATTGTTCCCCTCTGCTCAGCACTGACCAGTTCACACTGAGCCCTATTCTGGGCTTCCCAGTATAAGAGAAACATGGAGCTACTGGAAAGAGTCCAATGTAGGGCAACCAAGTTTGGTCAGTGAAGTACTTCTCATGTGAAAAAAGGCAGGGAGCTGGGGCTGCTCAGCCTGGAAGAGGCTCAGGGAGATTCTCATCAATGCCTTCAAGTACCTCAACAGAGGGTACAAACATCACAGTCAGGCTCTGCTCAGCAGCACCAAGTGCCCGACCAGAAGTGATGGGTACCAACAGGAACACCAAGGCCCTGCCTGAAAAATCAGGAAATACTCTACTTTTTCTGAAGCACAGAAAATAAGAAGTGCAGGGAAGGACAGAGGAGCAATCAGCACCTCGATGGTTTAGTTGCTTAAGCAGATATGAGTTGGCAACTCCTGCTCCTGCACATTCTAACTCCATTTGGAGACAGCTCCCCATGCTGCCGTTCCAGCTGCCTGCTCTGCTCACATTCCAGCTGGACAGGCCTTACTGCAGGCAGCCATTATGACACATGCAGAAGGATGACGTACCACAAAAACACTGAGGCACACGCTGTCCTGTGAGTCACACAGCAAACAAACACCGGAGAAAGAGGCTGGGACAGAGCCTGACTGTGTGCTGCTCATCCAAGCACGGTGTTATTCAGACACTCACAGTGGTAAGAGCCCCGACTGTGGTAACACATGCAGCTCCAGCTCCACAAAGCATTTTCCTCGGCTAAGAAGCAGCTTCTACACAAATACGACATTAATCTGTAATCTCTACCTTTGAAACACACAAACGCTGTATTACATAGAGCAGAAAATAAGAATGGGACAAATAAGGCCCGTTGAGTCCGACTCCAGGCTGCACACAGAACGCCCCAGTTCAGACCCCCGTCTGACATCCTCGTCCCGATGCCCCTCCAACTCCGGCAGCTCAGCGCCGCCACCGCCGCCCGGGCAGTCCGTCCCACGCCCGCCGCCCCGCAGCGAAGAACCCCTTGCCGATACCCAGCCGGACCTCTCCTTCGCTCCGCTAAGAGAACGGCGGCAGGAGCGCTTCTCAGCCCGCAGCACGTTTAGCAAAGCGCGCCGCAAGGTTCGCCTTACGGAGCGGCGCCCCCAGCACCGGGCCGCGCCTCGAGGCGCAGCGCCGTCCCGCCCGACCCCTCGCGGACCTCCGCGCGCCCCGCAACGAACCCGCAGCGCCCAGCAACGCCGACGGCGACGCGAACGGAGCCCAACGGACGCTCACGGCTCTCCGGCTCTCCGGATCTCCACGCTCACCGCTCTCCGCCTCTCCGCGGCCCGGCGCCGCCCGGATGCGGGCCCTCAGCCGGAAGCGGCCCCGGCCCGGCCCCGCGCACGCGCGCTCCTCCGGCGCGGCGCTGGCCCCGCTTCCCGCCGTGCGCGGCGGCCATTGGCTGCGGGCGGCTCCTCCCCGCGCCTCGGGCGGCGCAGCCGGCGGGGCGACGCGGGTCTCGGGGTCGTGCGGGGCCGGCCGTGCGGGGCCGGAAAGCCCCGGGCCCTGGGCCGCCCGGGTGCGGGCCGCGCGATCGCCGCTAACGGCCGGCCCCGCTCGCCGCGTCGCGGAGGAGAGGCGGCACGAGGAGGAGGAGCGGGACGACGACGAGGCCGAGCGGAGCCTGCGGACGGCCTTCAAGAAGCTGCGGCTGGACGAGGCGCGGTGAGCGGCGCGGGGCGGTGCGCGGCTGCCGGTACCGCGGTCAGCAGAGACAGAGCGCTCTGACAGAGCTCTGCCCGGTCCCGTCCCTCACCGCTGACTGCAGAGGAGCTCGGGGCCGCACACGGAAGCGTCGCAGCCCGGCACCTGAAGCCGTGGAGCCGAATCGGGATGCTGACACCGCGCGCTCAGGCACGGCTGTAACGCGGCGCTCTCTCTTTTAGCAGATGGATCGCGGCGCAGCCTGCGGGCGACGGGACGGTTCTCACGGCGCCGAGGAGAAGAGATGCAGACGGAGCCCCGCAACCGTCCGTCTGCCAGGAAACACGGAATGGGTAAAGCACAGCGTCAGTTGCACTCCACGTTTATTCTGCTTTCGGTCACTTAAAACTTGCTCGCTGTTGCCAGTGAGAGTTCTCACACAAGTGGTTCTGAGTACATTTTCCTCGCCCCTCTACCGCAAACCTTCTCCCTTCAAGTCTCACACCTTCGCGCCCTCCCCTTCCCACCTTCTCGCGTGCTGCAGAGTACCTGGATATTCAGTGCTGTGCTGCCACCAGCTCTGATATCCATGCCATACGCTGCAGTTCAGTATGGAATGGCGGTGGCCAAGACAAAGCACCTTAAGTAAAGGACAGTTTATTAATCACCAAAGATCCGGGGGGGAGCGCTTTTAAAACAGGAGTGCTCGCACGTATCTCTCCTTTGGGAGAGCCCCGTTTTTCTTCAGGCTCTCGCACCGTTCCTGGCACAAACTACACCAGCAGTCGTCTCGTTTCTCTAAGCAAAGAAAAACAAACCAAAAGCTACATGAGATGTCCCTGGCTGTGCTACAGAGCTTTGTGAGCAATGGCACAGATTCCATATTTACCTACCAGTTCACCTCTTCTGACCAGCCCCAGCTCTCTCACCTCGTTGTCCTAGGGGATCTGTTCACAGAATCACAGAATCACAGAATCACCCGGGTTGGAAGGGACCTCAAGGATCATCCTTGCATCTCCTTTCCTTATCCATGCCTAGCAGATCCCTGTGCGGAACAGCCTTCTCCCGTTCCCTGTGCTCTACTCTGAGGAGGCCCACACTTACGTACATGACACGACTGCTGAAGACATAACGGGATACCTGGAACACTATTTAGACATTCCAAAGAAAATGTTTTCCATTCCTTATCCGTGCTTAACAGATCCTTGTCTGAACAGCCTCCTGGGGTTCTCCCACATCTTACTCTGAGCAGGCTCACACCTATGTAAATAATGTAACAGTGGAAGATGTCACAGGATACCTGGAACACTGTTTATATATTCCATGAAAATGTCTGCCGTGGCACAAATGATGTATTCCTAAGTGAACCTCAGTGCCGATCACAAAGCTAACCATTATCACAAATTTCACAGCACGTTTGTGCCATAAGATTACTGTTTTGTGTTTCATCAAACAGTTTCTAACATCACACACTTTAGTTGTCTAATAAAAAGAAAAACTGTATACAGTTTCATACAGTCACACAATGGTTTGCTTTGTTTTGGGAGGGACCTCTAAGATCATCTCATTCCCAGCCCCTGCGGCACGAAGGGACACCTCCCTCTACACCAGGCTGCTCACAGCCCCATCCAGCCTGGCCCTGAAGGCCTCCCACGTGGGGACATTCACAGCTTCACTGGGCAACCTGTCCCAGTGCCTCACCAGACTCACAGCAGGGAATTTCTTCCTAATAGCTGGTCTAAGCCTACACTCTTCCAGTTCAAAGCCATTTCCCCTTGGTACTACCCGCCTTTATAACAAGAACCCCCCAGCTTTCCTGTAGACCCCCTTCAGTCCAGGAATGCTGCTAGAAGGTCACCTCAGGGCCTTCTCTTCCCCAGGCTGAAGAGCCCCAGCTCTCTCACCCCGTTGTCCTAGGGGAGCTGTTCACAGAATCACAGAATCACTGAATCACAGAATCACCCGGGTTGGAAGGGACCCCAAGGATCATGTAGTTCCAACCCCCCTGCCTAGCAGGGCCACCAAACATACACATTTAGATCAGGTTGCCCAGGACCCCGTCCAACCTGGCCTTAAACACGTCCAAGGACGGGGCATCCACAACCTCCCTGGGCACCCCGTTCCAGCCCTCTGATCATCTTTGTGGCCTCCTCTAGACTTGCTTCAACGGCTCCATGTCCTTGTGTCAGCTGCCTCACTCAGCTTGGTATCGACTGCAAATGTGATGACCGTGCACAGGATCTCACTGTCCATGTTGCCTGTAAAGATGTTAAATGGCACCGGTCCCATCACGAGTCCCGGGATGGACGCTAGATGGAGCTTTCTGAACACAGATTCACGGGAGGACACTGCTGATGATTCAATGCTAGTATTCCTCTCTCCTAACGCAGAGGTGCACTTTTCCAGCTAAAGGAACCCAAAAACCACTGTCTGCCGCTGGAGCCAGCTCTGACCCACTCACCGATCTGCTTTGCAGCAGTGAGTGCCACCAGCGTGGTTTTGCAGCCCTGGAGCATCACTGTTTCCCCGTGGGCATCCCCAAGGCCATTGAACACAGCACATTTTTCCACGCTGGTGCAGCCAGAGATGTGCCGGCTGCTGTGCAGGGGTGTGCAAACCTGTGCTGGAACACTGCAGTGCTCAGATGGCAAAGCTGCAGGCAGCACGGCTCCCCAGGTGCGACACATGTCCCCACACCCTGACCTTCTGAAAATAACCCAGGGTCAATTCTGCTTTGGCACAGGACGGGGCTCCAGCCTCAGTGCACAGCACCCATCAGGCAGGAACCAACCCGTCCCCTCCCCAGATCACTGCGTGTCTCTGAAGAACCACTGCTGCTTTTCCCGTGCAACGTTATAAGGCAGCAAGGCACCCGCTGGACGTTTTAAAGCCAGCATCTCTTGATGCAGCTCTTCACTGCCTATCTACCATATCAAAAGCAGCACAAAACCTGAATGCCTGCTGCAAAATAACTCAGGCCAGGGCTGCCCTGAATCGCTGGGCAGGCAGTGGGAGCAGCATCCTCCTACGGCAGCGATGCCACGAGCATGCCCGCTCCCCAGGGAGCCCTGCCAGGAGCCGTGAGGCCGCGCTCCCCTTTCCCAGCCCCAGCACAGCGAGATGGAGCTGCCCCGGGAGTGATGCTGCTCGCCGAGCCCATGTGATGCTGGGCTAGCGCGGCTCCTCCATCGTCCCCCTCCGCTCACAGGCTGTCATGGCGACTCCCAATAACGTTACTCCCACCAACTGCAGCTGGTGGCCCATCTCGGCGCTGGAGAACGACGCGGGGAAATCCAAGGAGGGGGAGGAAAATCAGGATCCGACAGACCCCGCTCTCAGATCCCAGGACAGGCTGGTTTTGTACCACTGGACCCAGTCCTTCAGCTCCCAAAAGGTAACAGCTCGGCCGGCTTCCCGGAGGAATCACCTCTCCGGGCAGGGCATACCCTTGGCTCGGGAGGACGGCTCCGCACGCAGCCGTTTCCCAGGGTGGGCGAGGGGAGCAGCACGCACCCGGTTGGCCCTTTTGTACCCGTATTCCTGTGTTTTATCAGCATCTCCCCAGGGAGGGGGGGCCCAGCCAAACCCTGCTTTTGCTTTCAGCCCGGGGTTTGCAGCGGGAGACGCCTCTGCTTTGTGCTCGCTCACAGCCGAACGCAAGCAAAGCGCAGACAAAGGCTGAGCCGGGGACCACCCTGCAGCTGTGGGGACCTCGCACAGCCAGCGCAGGGAGCGACCCCGGGAAACACAGCCCCGTGCCGGGAGAAATTTGCCCCAGCATTGCAGCAGGGCCCTGGAAATCCCACTCCAGAGGTCCTCCATCTCTGAGCAAAGCACAGGAGAAAGCAGTCCCCAAATCACTTTTTCCAAGCAATCCCAATGCTCATTTTGCAGCATGGCAGCAGTGCCATAAAGCTGGCCATCTGCCGGGCCTTCTACCACTCCCGTGCCATCAATGTCAGGTGGGCAGAGAGCTGCCGGGGGCCCCGGGGAGCACAAAGCCATCCCAACAAGAGGCCCCTGGAGCCCCACAGTGGCAGGGATGTCCCCATCTGCCCTGCGCACAAAGGACCTGCAGGCGCCTGATGCAGCAGGGCCACGGCGCTTATCCCATCCACCTGAGCTCCAGGGGCTGCCACAGGGATGATTTCATTCTCTTGCTGCTGACAGCCCCAGGACCCCGCTTCAGGGCACCCTGGGAGTCCTCAGCCCCTGCCACCCCACGCCAAGGTACTGGTGGTGAAAAGGATTGGGAGTGAGGGGAGATACGGTAGCCCTTGTTGGGCTCTGCTCCCAGCATCCTCCTGCCCTCCGAGG